ACATGTCTGTGACATTCAGAGTGGAAACTTTCAACAGCTTCGTGGCCCTGTGTGCTGAGACCGCGGAGGACAGGCTGGCAGGAGGGTGGCTCTGTGTAGAAGGGGTAGTCAGGGCCACCACCCCGAGGCCTGCTCTTCTGTCAGCAGTCAGCCCGTGGGTCCTGTCAGCAGCAACTGGTGTGCACACAGAGAGCAGCGGGGCGAGTCCTGGTGGCCAGCACTCGGTGTCCCCATACTGAGCACTCGGAGTGAGGAGCTCCTGCCAGCGTGTCCCAGCTGCACCGCACAAGACCATGCACGGAGGGCTTGGGGCCTTCATCCAGGTCCCCGCCTGCCCTGTGCAAACACAGGGTGCAAGCTGCTTGGTCCACCCTCCCTTCCCTCTCAGACGCGTGTGGAGCCCCCAGGCAGGGCCGGCTGCGAACAATCTCGACTCACGGCCCGTGTGTGACCAGGGCTCCAAGAGACAGTTGTCCCCCTGCACAGGAGGCACAGAGAGCATTTGTTCCCAGGGATTTTGTGACATCAGTGTCACCTATGGTCGGAAAGCAGGAAGCTCTGAGAAAGCCAGCACACACTGGCTCCACATGCCCCACGCACTCAGAGGCTGCAGAGGACAGCAACACAAATTCATCCTGTCAGACACCCTGCGGCCCTCAGGGAGCCATGCCGGTCCTGTGTGTATCTCAGGGTGGCGGCCATCTATCCAGACTCTCTAAGGCTTCCTCAGGACAGCCAGAACCATCCTCACGGGCCTGGGGGGACGGGCCTCGCGTCAGGCCAAATCAGGGGCCCCAGGAGGGCGACTGACTGTGGCTCATTGCTTTGGACAAAGTGGGTCCCGGGGGCAGACGGAGGCTGGGCACGCAGAGGCTGCCCTCTCTCTGGGGCGCGGGGACTGCTCCTGTGAGCCCCGAGCAGATCGCGCTGTCGCGGCTGTGGCCCGTGCTGGACGAGCACTCAGGCAGCCGAGTGTGTAAGGGACGGAAGCTGCTGGTGGGCTCACCACACGTGGCCCGGCCTTGCCTTCTGACGGCTGTGCTCGTCGGAGGTGCAGGCTGTGGCTATGTGCCAGGGAGGCAGCTTCTGCGTCCCTCCTCACGAGCAGTCGGCCCCACAGACACAGCCAGCAGTACGGAGAGGAGAGCCGGCGGCTGGGGCAGCATGGTCTCCCGGAAGCCCCTTCCCCCACGTGCTCCCTCAAGGCCCCCCTTGCTGCCAGCTTCAAGAGTATGTCCGATCTCACCGAGCTGCTCAGCAGTGCTCGCCGCAGTCCACGAGCTCCTTCGCCTCTGTGCTTCCAGCTAGAGGAGGTCGAGCACCGGGCATTTCTACCAAGGGGAAAACACTGCCTCGAAAGGTCATTTTGCTAATCATTTGAACCCGTCTGCATCTGCGGTAAATGGGTTTTATTCCCTCAGGGTTAAATTTGCAAATATGTATTAACTCTAATTCTATGGAACAGACTTTCATTGAGTGTTGGAGCCCCATGGCCAGGGCTCCAAGTCCAAAGAGGCAATTGCTGCAGAAATGACTTCATATACTGCAAATCCTTGTCTCTATCCCTTCAAATGGGATGCTGAAGTGATTAGACTAAAAACATATCACAAACAAATTCACATTACAAAATTGCTGTAATCACTCTCTGCTGGATTAAGCAAGGGCTTAGAAGCTGCTATTTGGTGGTTACACTCGGAGTTCTTTAGGGTTGGCAAGGTGGTCTGTCTTCTATCCACCCCTTTAGGAAAACAATATTTGGCCTTTATGAAGAGGCGCCTCTTCTGTTAGCGCCGCCAGCCTGCGAGGGAGATAGACAGGCATGTCTGGCAAAGCTCGTCGTGCTGGGATGCTCTTAACTTAATCACATGGTGCAACAGGCTCCCCGGGGCTCTGGACATCTGCACAAGGGAGAGCAAAATCTCATCTTTTGGATGAAATGAACAATAAAACGAACAGCTGGAAACCAACCTGCCTTGCAGGACAGCATGGGTGGGAGGAGGAGGGGCTGCGGGAGGGGTGTGGGCGACTCCTGGGCCCTGGAGGCGGAGGGCAGGTGCCGCTCTGCCCTCCTATGACCTGCGCCTGCAGATCACGGGCGTGTTCCAGGCAAGTGCATTTCCCAACTGCAGGCAAATCAAAGACCTTTGACTCTGAGCTACCTTGGGCACCATTGGAGCCAAAAGTACCACAAGCCTATTGTGCAGTTGGGCAAACCCTGTGTGTGGGGAAGGCGGCAGGGCTGGCCCTAGAAGGGCTTCAGTTTCAGCGACCACAGGGCACCCAAACTTGGAAAGAGAAATAGTCTGAGCATTTTAAGGAAAGGAGAGGCCATGAGCCCCTGCCTCTTTCTTCCTACCTGTTCAGCACTCTGCGCTTGCCTGGCGAGCTGGCGGGTGCAGCGTGGACAGCAGGTTGGTGTGGAGACTGCAGGCAGGGAGCATACAGGACCCAGCAGGGCAGCTCGCGTCTGCTTCCAGCTCCCAAGTCCCTGCAAGCTGGGCTCTGCCAGGGAGTCCCCTCCGAGAGCAAGGCCAGCCCAGGGGCTCCTGACCTGTGCAAGGCTGAGACTGTCATGTGTGGTCTGTGGGGGCAGAAGACTCCTGCTCCTAGCCTAACTCCTCCTCACGGCAGAGGAGGGCTCAGGTGGTAACCCGTGGCAGTGTAGGGTTTCCACCTTCTAATTGGCTGCTTGGACGGCAGACAGGCCCGGACCAGGCTCTTCTTGCCGGCTGCCCTGGCCCCTGCTGCGCTCACTCAGGCCGAAGACCATACTCAGGATGAGAGAGGGAGCAAGGCGTTGCTTATTTTCCTGGCTCTAAGTTTGTCCCCCAAGCCAGCAGACATTTCTTGTGGGAAGCAAAGAGCTCATGAGACTCTGAGTGTGCAGTCTGGGGCTGCCCCAGCCAACACGAGGGCTACTGCCACACGCAGCCACTGAGCCTGGGAGCCGCGGCTGGTCTGAATGGATGTGCGCGCGGCATAGGCTGCGGCTTGAAGAGTTAGTACCAAAAAGAGTGACAGGTGTCAGTAATAATTTGAAAACGTGAATTACACGTGGAGATGGTATTTTTTGGGAAATACTGGGTCGAGTAATATTCACCAATACAATTCATCTCATGTGCTTTTGTTCACTTTTTATGTGGCCACTTGAAAACGTGCGTTGTACACAGTCTGAATTGTCTCCTGGTTGGGACGCACTGACTCACAGGGCTGGTGGCGACGTCTCCGTCCTGGGGACACTGTGTGAACCTCACCAGCGGCACCTCTTCCCTAAGAACTTGAAGATGAGCTGGTTTGAGTCCAAGTGACAAGCGAGGCTCTTCCCCGCTTCATTCCTCTGCCCACCCCAGGGAGGCCCCTGCCCTTGCTGGTCATGTGCGAGGGCAAGATCCACTGCCATGCTCCGCACGTGGCAAGGACACACAGGGACAAACGGCACCCAGCCCCACCGCCCCCCAGACAGGGACCCATGCTGGTGCGATTTTGCTGTGGCACCTGGCTTTGGGAGAGGTCTTAGAGCCAGAAACCTACGACTTGCATTGTGATGGACTGCACGGCTTTATTAGCGGCTACTGCTGAGAATTTCACTTTGAAAAACTATACTTCACTCTATCCCAGAGAAAGGCTTGCTGCCACTGGGGAAACAACAGATACACAGCCTGACAATTTGTTTAAAGGTCTAAATTTAATTTGAACTTTTATTCAAGTAAATTATTAGAGAAAATTTTGATTAGTGAAGTGGCCTTTTTGAAAACCTGTTTTTCACCCCAAGGGGGAAGACAGATATTTCTCTTTCACCTTTTTCTTATAATTTCATCTATATGCTTGTGGATTAGTACCACAACACCAGCATCTTGCGGAGAGTTTTTGGTGCCTACAAGCGGGGATCTCAAATGCACACAGCCGTTTGAAAATAGAAATCATTAATGCAGTCACAGATGGATACTACACAGTTTGATATTGAAATTTAATCATATTATTTTTGCAAAAGAAATTGAAATCCAAACTTTATATTTTGAAGCACACGTCTCTGGTCTTAAATGAAATGCACAACTTTTTCAAATTACCATCTGTAAGTCATTTATAAAGTTGATGGAGGATTGCTTTGAATGACCTCAGAACCATTAGGCTTCCAGGTCTCTGGCCCTAACTTACTGTCTTAGCACTCAGCTTTCTGAAAATGCAGAACTGAGAGAGTTCAGGAGAGGGGACAAGGAATAAAAATGGAATGTGGCTGAAACCAGGGTTAAACAAACGTTTTTATGAATAAGACTTCATCACACACTTTGATTGCAAATACAAAAGGGTCCTTTGAAATGCATTAGTGCCACTGACAGGCGCCTGGAGGGCAAAGGCTCCATCTCAGCATGCACAATGGCCAAGGACACGCACAGGCACACAGCGCCGTGTGCGCAGCCGGGACCAGAGCAGCGGGCAGCGTCGGATTCCGAGCTCGCTGGGCCTAGACCCATCCGGGCGCGGCGCAGAGCCCCCCTCGAGCTACTCACCCGAAGCCCGGCCTCCTCCCTCCCTCCGAAATGTGCAGAGTCGCTGGGGTGGAGGCTTGGTCGGTCCTGGGGTCGGATGGCGTCCTCGGAGCACCCTCCAGCGTCAAATGTGTAGTAGGCTTCAAGAATTCGCTCCCATGCAGACCCCTTAGGCAGAGGGCAGGGAGGGACTGGGGAAGTCCAGGGCTCTCAGGGGTGAAATTGCAGACTTCCAGCGGCCGGCCAGGGCGGTGTGCATGCTGAGCCTCTCAGATAGCAAGAAAATAAGTAGATGAAATTCAGATTTAAAAAGTCCAAAGAGCTCTCTGCCCGGAGTTTTGTCACATCCATCTCCAGCTCCTTTGCCAACAACCACGATGGGGTCTGGCGGGCGGCAGTCCTTCCGTGGCCGCAGGGAGTTGGAGACCCGAGCAGCAGAGATGGGAGGTCCGGGGCCACACGTCCTCTGGGTTCCGCCCAGCCGGGAGATCCTCCCGACAAGCCGACCCAGGTGGTGCTCCGCAAGCTCAGCTAGGCGGGCGTCTGGTTCGGATGGGCTCCGGACCTTGCCTGCGCCCCTGGGACCCCGCTGCAGGCTGCTTTCGGAAGTGATTGGCGAGGCCCAAAGGGAGAACGGTGGTCACCCTCCACCCCTTTCCCGGACTCCAGGACAGGGGACTCTCCAGCGCCAGGTCCCGGGCTCGATGCCCCGCCTGCGCAGGCTTCGCTCCCGCGGACCCAACTGTCCCGCGCAGAGGCTGTCAGCGGCGGTCTGTCCGCCTCTCCGGGGCAGGTGGGATGACCGGTCCTCGGGGAAAGACGAGCGGGAGAGCGCGCGGCCACGTCCGCGGTCACGGCTTCTCGCTGCAGTGTTTGCAGAGCGCTGAGGGCGAGCCGGAGAAGGTGGCGCACTTGTCGGGGCAGGGCCCCAGAGCGGCCCCCGCCGAGAAGGGGTACACCGCGGCCTGGCCGAAGGGTGTCAGGGGCGCCGGGGCGACGGGCGCGGCCAGGCCCTGGCCCTGGTTGAGGTAGGCCACCAGGCGCCGCATCTCGTCCAGGGCCTGCGCCTGCATGAGAATGTAGTTCTTGGCCAGCAGCAGCGTGGCGATCTTAGAAAGCTTGCGCACCGACGGGCTGTGCGCGTAAGGGATGACCGCGCGCAGCCCGTCCAGCGCGTCGTTCAGGTCGTGCATGCGGCGCCGTTCGCGCGCGTTGATGCTGAGCCGCAGCGAGCGCTGCTCCCGCGGCCGCCGCCGCCCGTCCGCC